AGACAATTCCGTCAACAAAAATCTTGTTCAAAGAAAGGCAAAATCGGGAGTAGAGGTATCTACTGTTTTGATGGGGGTAAAGTTCATCTACTAGTTTGCCTGAAAATGTGTCTTGAACTCTATTTTAGAGGTGTTGATTTAGCTTGCTGCTATCTGTGCTATGAAGTAAATATTTTGTACAAAGACAGTGCCTCTAATTTGCAAAATTATTTCTCAAACAATCATATGATAAACTCTTGTCGTAAGTGTGGTATTTCTGTGTAAAATTATAAAGTTATGAAATTGATAAGAGATCAGGGTAGTTTACCTGTACCATTATGAAGTAATTTTAAGATATCGTGATATTGTATTTCTGTATCTCTATCTAAATCTTCTTGTCTCTCTTTCCATTCTAACAAACAATCTAACGCCTTGTTTCCCTAAATAACATGAACAGAAACTACAACTAACTGAGAAGAACCTAATGAACTGGATGTTTCGTTAGTTTTCTTGTAGGTAACAAAGGTATTATCTCGACCTATACCAAGATTGAACCCTGAACCTTCAGGTCAGTAAGCACACAGCCACAGACTTTGAATATTGACTCTAATGAAAATAAGTCAACTCAATAAAAAGCAGTGTCAATGTCAGGGGGCCAATAGAAAAGAGTAAAATGCAAATAGATTGAGGGCGAATTTTGAAGTTTATTGGAATATACTGGAGTAAACCTAGGTCCTCCCCCAGATGAGTAAAAGAAAAAGGATTGGACAAAACAAAAAGTTAATCTTACATCATCATTTTTGGCCAGTTTATTAGCCCCGCGATTCACCAATAACTCAATTGTTTCAAAATTCCCGTTCTCTGCAGCATCAATAAGGGGAGTAACTCCTCGACACATATCACCACCACGATCGTCAATATGAGCTCCGTGATCCAGTAAATATTCTACTATAGGGTAATAGTTATAGTTGGCTGCCTCGTGTAGCGGAATCCAACCGGAGTTATCTCGCGGATTAACTGGATGTCCCTGAAAGAGACCAGAAACGAAATGAAATGTGATGAAGACAGTGTGCAGTGTGGGAAATTTTGACAGGAAGAGAAAGTCTTGAATAAGTCATCTTTTCTCGTTATTCCAGCTGTAAATGGGTATGGATAATCCGAGAAAGGTCAAAAGGTCACTGTCAAGAGTTTTGATCAAGGATCAGCTGTTGGAAAGGATCCTTGTGAACTCAAGTTGTTATGTAAAAATGGATGGTTTTCTCTAATCTTTCTAACCAATCAAATACCAGTATTTAGCCGTCTGTAAATGGCTGTCAGAATGGCTGAACACCAGACTGAAACATTGTATCAACAATGAAGTTTTACCTGTTCTATTAATTTCTTGACCTTCTTTAGATTATTCTCAATACAAGCTCTATGGAGTGGTGTTTCTCCCTTTTCATTTTTCTGTAAAAATTTCAATAAATACAATCAGTAAATCACGTTTCTTAATAGGAACTATTCAACAATTGTTCAAAAAGATTGTACATCAGCTCTACTACATTGAGATTTGTGATTAATTTAGAATTGTAAATTAGAAACTGTTCTTTGTATTGACTCTTTTAACCAGCCATATAATTACAGGTTTCACCTGAGCAGCCGGTGAAGCGGCCATTATAGAGTGGTCATCACACTAGAAGTTTTGGCAATGAGACGTTTTTTTAAATCACACTCAGTGTTCAAAGGGTTAAAATTAAGGTACCTTAATTTTAAAGGTGGATCTTCTGGAACACCTGGTACCACTACTGTTTGAGGTCATAGAGGTCAACATTACTGTTTCTTCTCCTTCATCCTCTTCATCTGAAAATATTGATCAATGAAACAAAATGGAGTATTACACATTACTTTTCTGTTAGTGAAGACAGATATTGCCATGTAGTAGTGTGCATGTATTGTTGGCGATATTTTTATTTTGGTGATGTTTTTTTCCTGAGCCTGCACTCAAAAAAAAAGCTTCATCATCCGATCATATTAATTCTCACTTCAATTGTAATATCGATTTAGAGAAACGACTGCCTGGAGATTTTCTGTCTCTTTGTGTGGCTGCAGGCGGTTTGTTGAACTCTTAACAAGACTCTAGTTTGCGTCAAAAATCATCGAAAAAAACATACCTGAATCTGATAACTCAGACATTACTACAGCTTCTTCATCATTTGATTCTATTGGTTGACTTTCTTCATCTGATATCTCGTCTAATTCGTTACTGAATTTCTCCCGTAGTGTTTTAATCTTATCTTCAGTTATCACTAGATGGTTAGATTGTTTATAATATTTCTGAGTTTCTGCTAGGGAGTTTAATACTGCCAGCTGAAATATAACATTGACGTGATGATGATTTCCTGATTTGAGAAAAACATGCTTCACAACTTAAAGCATTTCGTTAAGAGCTACAGTGGGTAAGAGAATTGAAATTTCTACTTGACTTCATTTCCTTTATTGATGGTTGTGGGTTCTAATCTCAGTTGGTATGTGACAGTCCAGTGACATGGAATAAGTAATCTTTTCTCATTGTTCCAGTCGACTCATTTGGTAGACAATTTGGTAGACAGGATACTTGTGAAGCTAAGTTGTTAATTCTTGTAACAAAGGTACGGTGGTTTCTTTCCTGATAATCTAAGTCTAAAGTCTGAAGAATCTGTACCTGTAATTTTCTATTAGTAGTTTTCCTCACTGCTTTAAAAGCTTCAAGATAAGAGTTATATATCTTGTTATAGCCCAGGTTTAATTTCTCTTCTAAATCAGCTATATTCAACCATGTTCTCCCAGTCTGCAGGAAAAAACAATATCATTGATTGAACAGTTGATTTTTATATGAAAATACTACTGTTATGTGTGAACAAAATAAAAAACAGGATTCAGGGGTGTCTCATGCCTCAAGTCTTATGTTTCAGTTTTCTAAGAGGCTACTGGTAAAGTGAGGTATTTTTGCAGTCCAATATAATTTTTAGGTAGAGTATGTAGTAATTGTAGAATAAATCTTGCTTGTTTATTTTCAATTCTTATTCATTCTGCCTAAAATACCAAAAGTAAGTGGTGTAATGTTTTGAATAGAACCCCTCCAGCTCAGACTCATTCAAAGTATGGATAAACTTTAACCTACCTGTTCTCGATTGTCTTTATAACATGCTAGTTCAGCTTTATAGTATTTTATAGCCTCCACATAGTTTTTATTATCAGCGTAAGTTCGAGCTAGTGAAACATAAATCGGCACCATTTCTTTATCTTCCAGTCCTAGATCTATCCCTAGTTCTAACTATAATGAAGAAAGAATGAAGGAATGAATGATTGAATGAGTAAATGAATAAATGAGTAAAAGAATGAATGATTGGATGAAAAAATGTATGAATGAATGAATGTAATCTTTGTTGGTCAAAATCTTAAATATGATCGATATTTCAAAATATCTTTGAGGGATTGTAAAGAGGTTTTCTAACTTTTTATTCTTATTTGGAGCTTTTCCAATTTTCAGTCAGACGTTTCAACCAAGACAAATCAACATGAAAAGTTAAACATATCTTTAGAATCCATTAAAATATTGTCATGTAAGAAAATGAAAGTAACTTACAACTTTATGGTAGTATACCAGAGCTTGTTTATAATTAAAGGCGTCTACAGCACAATCTCCTAGGGTATCGTACAGTTTTATTCTGTATTTAGGATCATCCACTGTTTCTAAATCATCAATAGATTCTTTCATTTTACATGCTGCAATAAAAATAGTTTCAAATGATATTCTATGATTCTGTAAAAGAAACGAAAATGTGGAGAATGATAAGGAAAGATTTGATTTCACAAACTTTAAATATGATTGAAAGGGAAGGAAATTCATGTATTCCTTTTCTGTGCCTGACTGAGCTAATGCAGGTGGGCAATGAGGGAAATTTTGCTAGAACAGGGGCATAAGTCTACCCCTAAATTCAAGAAATCTTTAACCTGTTGGGCATGAGAACATTAAGAACTATTGGGTGATAAATACCTGCTTTATATAGTTTGTTCATCTTAATATAATCAGCATCTCTTGTTAACCCCAGTTTCTTTACTTTCTTTAAACCATGTTTACTAGCTTCATAATCTCCTATACTAATCTGTAACTGTTATAAACAAACACATATTATAAACAAACACTTATAAAACAAACACATATCATAAACACTTTCTTTAAACCATGTTTACTGGCTTCATAATCTCCTATACTAATCTGTAACTGTTACAAACACATATCATAAACAAACACTTATTGTAAACAAACACATATTATAAACACACACATATTATAAACACACACATATCATAAACACTTTCTTTAAACCATGTTTACTGGCTTGATAATCTCCTATACCAATCTGTAACTATTTTACAGAACAATTTGATATAACGGCTTGTGTAAAAAGATGCAGAATGGTTTTCAGTGAAGTCTACATTGCAGGAACCGGTTTATTGGCTTTGTTTTGCTACTTGAGAGAAAACCATTCAAATTTTTCACAACATAAATGAATCTGACTTCCAATCAAAGTTGATATATCTTAAATAAGTTATCTTTCGTTTTCATTTTGTTCTAAACAACAACAATCTCAGAAATAACGATAGGAAAGACCAGAAGCTCATCAAAAGTTTCATTTATTCTTGTAAAAATAATATTTAGGATTATTTTTCCTACCTGTGCCTTTTGTAATAAAGCTTCACTGTGTTTGAATTTATCTTTCAGTTTCTGTGAGGTATTGATAGCTACATCTAAACAACGTAACGCCTCACTGACTTTACCATTTCGTTCATACATAGCTGATAGATTCACTTGACAAAGATACACTACTTCATACAGGCGATATTTCCTATTAATACACCATTTATACATTATTTCAAATAATCTAACTTTTCTTAAACAGTAGTCCAAGTTGTCTTAAAGACAAGAGGCCTCCTAATGAGATGACTAATCAACCAATGGGTTTGTAATAAACTATAATAACTTACTCTGCCAGTGATATAGCTCTTTTAAAATATTCTACAGATTTATTGGTTTCTCCTCTAATATCATATACACAACCTACAATATCAAAATACTTTATATTCTACAGAACAGACAGTTCTACAATTCTCTCTGAGTCACTCAGTCACAAGCTAAATGACGGCTTGTACTTGTTGTTTATATATCTTACATATACACATAGTCCTATTCTAAGATGTTTTAATTTCAAAATTATTGCCTAGCAAATGAAAATAGGTGACAAAATTTTGAACTTTTGTGTTGAGAAAAAACAGCCTCATTTTGCCTCAGCCAGCTGTTTTGAGAGCAATTAAAGTATTGGCTTAAAAAATAGATCACCCACCTAAATTAAGAAATGATCTGGCTTTCATGTCCATCAACTCATCAACCTTAATGGATGATTTCAGATGTTCACAAACTTCCAAACTTTTTATAAAGGCATCCTCAGCTTTTCTCGAAGCCTGGGCAGACGTCAGAGTACTGCGTGGTGAATCTATCTGACACAAAAACATCCGCCCTATAGTCGTCCACGCTCGTTGTACGTCATTATGTTCCCCACAAGATTTCGACAAGTCTAGATATTGTTTGAGAAGGGGCAAGGCTTTGTCGAATTGTTCCAGGCTTACGTAACACTCGCCCAATTTCCTGCATGCCACGGCCACACCCATATCATCACTGATATTTTCACTGACAGTTCTCTCTCTTTTATGTTCCACGATAGCATCTTCATATTGTTCTGAAATAATTCAAGTCAAATTCCAAAATTCATTTTGGTGGCATTTTTATCTGCTGAAAAATTACATGGTAAGCTTATACCTCAACAGCAGATGGAGTTGATACATGTTCAGCGTATATGACATTTTATTATGTTCACAACAATTAAACAACAATTTGTGTGCATGTTGAAATGAAAACACCCTCTCCTATCATTAGCAAACAGTGGTGTTTTTACGGAGCAGGTGAGCACTCTTTACCTACCATATTTTGAATATAATTCTCCTATACAGTTACAAAGACCTGCCACTTCTTTAAATCTACCCTTAGCTTCTGCCTTCGTACGATCTTTCAGCAATTCTAGAAACACAGAATTTAATAATGATTGCATAAATACATACAAAGATATACTAGGCACATACTTTTTATCATAAACACAATTTTATTAGAGGAAGAACAGAATTAGTCTCGGTAAATTAAATAATTAAAGACTTTATTCAATCTGATCCAAGTATTGCATTTGAAAGGAAAGAGGAGGAGGGGGGGAGGAGGGGGGGTATTTTGACAATTATATTCTACGTCGTTTTCATTGAAATCCACTGATTTGTTAAAAGATAACTATTTTGATGTCTTACTCTGAAGTTCTCTGCTATCTTGGGCGTCCATCTGCAAAGTGTCAAGATATACTTCAATGTCAGAGGATGTTTAATTGCTGAATTTATTTTATTTTTATCATTTTGTTTGCTAACTCCGCCATTTTCAGATTTCCCGGTCGGAAATGGTTATGACGCATGCGCGTTAGATGTAAACAAACGTAAATTTGCAGGTGCATCATTTCAACATTTTTCCAGATTTTGAATAAATAATGTTTCTAATTAATTTCAAATATTTTTCATATGTAGAGAAACATTGTTTTCTTTGGTTCTTCTCAATAAAAATAAGTCAAACGTCTTAGATTTTTGATAAAACTTGCTTTCATGGGTAAATGATAGTGGTCAAATCGTCCTGATGTCAAATGGTCTCACAATATGTCAGTCAACCGTACATATTAAACCAAATTGTCCATTTAATTTTTACAATCTTCTTTTTCAGTTGATTTGCTCTTTACTGTATTTGAGATGGTTACCCTTGAAACTGACAAATTTCAATCCATACAGCTCACTTAAACTGAAAAACAAAAAGAAGGAATGGAGATTTCCGGCCTAATTTTCTACTTGTGCTTTGTCAAAGCCTATGATATAATGAAGATGAGCAATGTCATGTAATTTGATTACTTTTTTTGAATTAAACAACCATTAAATAGCACTTTTTGATTGTAACTTCTGGATAGCAGAAATTAGTGTTTGACAATGGCTGAGACAACCAAAGTGACATTGAAACATCTTTTAGACATTTCCAAAACATTGAAGAACATTGTTTGTCGATCTTTTGGTCCACGATGTCAAACAACTCTCTTAGCAACGCCGACTGGTCAAATTATGGTAACTACGGACGGAATAAAGATCTTGAAATCTCTAAACATCGGTCATCCTATTGGACGATTGATTGTTAACGCTGTGTCAGCTCATCATAATGTTAATGCAGACGGCGTCAAAACTTTCCTTTTGTATTTATGTGAATTTTTACATCAACTTGATAAATTAGGAGATAACAGTCCAAAAAACTTGATATCAGTGTCCAAATCGATTTCAAAATTTATGGATGAAATTTTACCAAAATGTTTGGAAAATTTCAAATCAAATGGATTATTTGAGTTGAATTCCGAATTATTCTTTCCTCTAGAACTTGATCATTATTTAACTGATTTTATCAAAACCACTTTAACTCCAAATTTACGGAAAAATCAAGTGAATTTATTTTCGAAATTATTTTCAAGTGTAATTATGAATGGTTCAAATTCATTGACTAAAATTCTTGAAAGAGCTGATTTGTTTTGTGATTTTTTTGAGTATCTTCATGTGAAAGGGACAGGACCTTATTCAGACTCAAAAGTTATATCTGGGTTTCTTTTAAGACCCTTTTCATGCAATTTTCATGATGCTTCTAAGTCGAGTTTAAATTTTGTGATTTTACGAAATTCAATAGAAGGTAATAAGACACCAGAACCTGAAGAAGTGGTCAGAATAACATCTGAAGATTCATTAAATGCAACCATCATGTCTCCTATAAAAGTAGCAGAAGAATTTTTGAAAAAATTAAATTCGTCGTCTGTAGACCTGATTCTAATGAGTGAGAAAGTTCCGCAGTTTGTTTTAACCTTATGTAGAAAGTATCACATCAGTGTAATCGTGTGTCTGGATGACCAAGAAATAAATCTTGTAGAAATGTTATCCAGTACCCCATCTTTGTTAAGTGTTTTTGAGGAGATTTCGGAAAGAAATATCGGACAAACGTTTGCATGTGAAAGGATAAAATTTGGAAAGTGTGTGTATACAAATATACATTTTAACAATTGTTTATATGTTAAGTCTTTTGTACTTTGTGGTCCTACTGAAGGCCTTGCTCATGAGTTGTCTTCCTTGATCTATAAATCATTTAGATCAATTCAGGCATCTGCTACTAAGAAAGAAGCATCTTCAATTTTATCCAACCATGTTACCAAGCAGACAAGCATTTCTGACACAAAAGTTGCTATCTCAGAAGACTTAATCTCGAAACATTTTGAGTCTTCTTCAACCTTAAATGACAGAAATTCTTTAACAAAGGCAAATATTTCTGATGCCAAACTTGATGAAATGGAAGCAAGGAATTTGGACTCTGCTATGTTTCTTAGAAACAAATATTCTTCAAAAGAGGCAGATATTTCGTGCAGCCAAATTACTGGCTCCGTTCAAATGAAGACAGAAAATGCTGTCCCCTTACCCACAGAAGTTGATATTTCTAGTGCTAGTATTGTTGACAACTGGCCACAACATTTCGACTCTTCTGCAACAATAAATGACGGTCGTAATGTAATTGAAAAATCAGAAAATATCAGACAAGAATCTACCTATAATACATTGTTACTCCCTGCCGGTAGTTATTTTGAATTTCAATTAGCAAAATATATCAGGCAATCAACTGAAAATTTCAAAGAGTCTGAATTTGGAGATTTAGGAAAATTGATTTTCGAAACTCTTCTAGCAGTTCCGAGATCTTTGCATTCCAACTTATGTGAGAGAAATTCAAACGATAAAAGACATTTTTTAGAAATTCTTCAAGAAGTTTTGAATTCTGATTCCAATATGTGCTTAAATTCGAGAGGCCATGTTTATTGTCCTTCAGAAAACTTTGATACATTAGAATCTTTTAATTTAAAAATGGCAACTTTATGTAATGTTTTACAATTAATTCAACAACTGTTAAGGTTAGATTTGATTATTGGTGTGAAATCTCTGAAACCTGAATAAATTTGATTTTCATTAAAAACTGAGTTTTTGTTTCTTATGAATTATTAATGATAAGTCCCTAGGCAGGCCTCCTGCCAGACTTGATTGTTCAGAGGACAATTTATATATCGGGAGGGGCAATTAGGGAGTTGCTGTGATGATATATAGGTGTACGCTCAGAATTGCCCCCTGTAGTTACTGTCCTGTCCCTAAGGGATGTAAAACTCCTCAAATTTGTAAAATATGGATGTGTAATTCTCTGATAGGATATTGTTGAGCCACATCAATATTTAATCTAGGATTTTTGAAAGGATTTTCTATGTGATGCCTTGATAGCATGTCATGTTTATTTTTAGCATCATAATGTCAATATTGATATCACATGATCAGTCATGTGATTTCCTCAGTAACGGATGTTTATCGGCGGCCATTTTCAGTATGAATGGTGAAGTTTGAAGTCACGTTTTTTTTCTTGCCACTGCGAGCCTTAGATTTCACTACAGATCTTCCTCATGTGGACATAAACAACGAAAATTGCATACAGAAGTGAGAAAAGATGGACGGCGGCGATTCACTCTACAGCGACCTGAACAGATCCCTGGATTCAGCTTCAAGTGAACTTGATGCACTCCGGCTGAATTCAAGGGAGGCAACTCTGTCAGATAGAGGTCTGGCTAGGTCTCAAAAACTTGAAGATGCAATCCTTTCTGAAATCAAAAAGACGGTTGCCTTAGGATCAAATACTCTAGATCTTAGTAACAAAGGTCTGCTTCAAATTCCAGATGAAATCCTGAAGATGCCAACTCTGGAGGTGAGTGAATGTATCACAACTTTTAGAGCCTTTCAAAGCTCAACCCATATCCTGGCCAGACTCAACAAAGCCATTAACGCCTCAGAACAGACACCATCTTTGTTATTACTCAGTGATAACTGGAAAGTGTACCTAGATTTTATAAACTTGCGATCATTTTCAAGATTGCAGCCTTTGGCACTTTATAATGCTATATTGTTTTGCTTTGCTGACATATTGAATTTTATATCTATGAGAATGAGCACCTGGATTGAATATGTAAGATATTAGTACTTAGTAATGCATAATTATAAGAATTTTGAACTTTAATCTGAGGGTTTATCAATCTTTTCTCTTTCAGTACCTGTATTTAGAAGGAAATGAACTATCATTTTTACCTGACGAATTCTTTGACTGTCTTCCAAATTTAAAATGGCTGGATTTACGTCGAAATAGCTTGTCCCGAATACCTAGTGTATATTTAGGTCGTCATAGAAACCTACGAAATTTGTTGTTAGAGGAAAATAATATAAAGAGTTTACCATTGGAATTAGGTAAGAATTTATAATGATACTGGTTGGAACTAACTTATTATTTAGATGAATGGGTGAGATGATATTAGATTATCAATGAAGGTCAAGTCTGAAACTTGGTTGATTTTATGCAGTTATAATGTTGACCAATATTGTGAGGAGTGCAACACTTTCGCTTTCCATCTGACAAGCAATCTTTAACATGCGCATCCTGTAGCACACAGGTCCTCAAATTGTTGTCTTATTCAGATGACAAAACTACACATGCAAAACAGGAATGAACATTCTTGAAAGTATTATCTCGACCTATGATGGGATTGAACCCTGGACCTTAAGGTAGCAAGATTGCGTCAAACTCACTGAGTGAGCTCCTCTGAGCTGAGTAATAAGCAGTAGCTACACGGATATATTGTCTGCTTTCTAGGTCTGGTAAAATCTGTCTCTGGTTTGAACATTAACAACAATCCACTGGAATTCCCTCCTGTGGATGTGTTGGAGAAGGGAACTCAGGAAATATTAAAGTTTCTATATGAGATGCTTCAAGCTAAATTAGCCTCAAAATCTGGAGGTAGGAAATTTATTTCTTATAAAGGAATTAAGGAAAAAACATAAGATATAAATGGATTTTGAAGGATACCAGCTCTTCAGCAAAAACTCTTAGCAATGATTTTACAAAGATAATAACATAGGTTCGTAAGATCCTGTATACCAGCTGATCCATGGCTATACCTCTTGGGATTTATCTTTTTCGATATTCTGTACCCTTTTACACCGTGATCAAACTTTGATAACATGTATTTAATGAACATTGTTATTTTTGGGTAGATTTAATGAACATTGTTTTTTTTGGTGTAGATTTTGATAAACATGTATTTTGATGAACTTTGTTATTTTTATGTAGATTTTGATGAACGTTGTTATTTTGATGAACATTGTTATTTTTGTGTAGATTTAATGAACATTGTTTTTTTTGGTGTAGATTTTGATAAACATGTATTTTGATGAACTTTGTTATTTTTGTGTAGATTTTGATGAAGATATTCCTACATATGACGAGTTTGATTCGGATCAGAGTGATGAAGAATGGTTGGATGATTATCGGCAAGGTCATTTACAGAGTCGTGAATCTAATTTGAGAGGGGCTAGACAATCAGGGTTAGGAGGACCTGTCCCACAGTCGGCTGAGCTACATCATCAGATTAGTTACTCTGATAGAAAACTTCTTCATACTGAAAAACTGAAACAAGCAGGTGCCCTAGGAATCGTTGATGGGTAAGAAACACGCAATTAATCTTGAATCTCTTAATTTTTTATTTCTAATATAATTTTTATTGATACTTAAACTAATGTGATGATTAACATCGAAAATACATGACTGGTTCAAACACTTAATTCTGTAATTTTAAAAAACTTGATTGAAACTTGAAACAGATTTAGTCTTGTGCTTTAATGTAATGATGTAAGTTATGTAAGCATGGGTTGTTAGTGGCAAAATATGTCAGCAAATATGAGTGAATCTTTATTTAAGCTTAACAAACATAAAATTTAAAAAGAAATTTTTAATCAGAATAACCTTCATCTAAAACCTCAATCAATTCATGCAGGAAACTCAACTCCTTAAATTTTAGTCCTTTCATGCATGGTACTCAACTCTCTAAAACTTAGTCCTTGCATGCATGGTACTTAACTCCCCAAAACGTAGTCCTTGCATGCATGGTACTTAACTCCCTAAAACGTAGTCCTTGCATGCATGGTACTTAACTCCCTAAAACGTAGTCCTTGCATGCATGGTACTTAACTCCCTAAAACGTAGTCCTTGCATGCATGGTACTTAACTCCCTAAAACGTAGTCCTTGCATGCATGGTACTTAACTCCCTAAAACGTAGTCCTTGCATGCATGGTACTTAACTCCCTAAAACCAATTACTTACATGCATGATAAATAGTTTTCTTGACCTTTTTTGATGATTTATTATAATTTATTTTCAGTTATGCATCCACATTGCTTTTACTAATATTCTTTATTTTGACCCGTTATTGTTTAGATTTGAATTCCTGTTATTAACAATATTAATTCTAACCCAACTAACACTTTGCCTTCAGTTCATTTTTACGAAGAAAATTATTGAGTCAACAGCAAAGAAAGGCAAAATTTGTCAAACAGCAATCAGCATCTGCAACTTCCAACAGAAGGTAGAGAGAATTATTGAATGATATATGGATAATATTCTCCATTTTTTATATCTGACGTTAAAGTGAGCCGTGTCGAGTCTGCAAGTTAGATGCTTGCTCTTTCTAACCTGGTGTCTGGGATCTGATTTCTTGGCTTAGCTAATAGTGCTGTCTTGAAAAAAGGTTCCTCATTGCACACTATATGGCTCTGCCTGTCTTCATTCGCTCAAATATGTTTAGAAAAGACGAATATTGGGTACCTTATCACTGGCACCACTAACCCCGGCGTTGTTCCACCCCTGCCTCCTTAACACCCCTGTCCTTAACACCCTTACCTCCTTAACATCCCTGTCGTTAACACCCCTGCCCTTAACACCCCTGTCCTTAACACCCTTACCTCCTTAACACCCCTGTCCTTAACACCCTTACCTCCTTAACACCCTGTCCTTAACACCTCTGTCCTTAACACCCCTGCCCTTAACACCCCTGTCCTTAACACAGTCACAGTTTTTTAAAATGTATAAAACTTTCTAATAATTTATAAACTGATAAAAACTAGGAATATTTTTGTGACCTATTATAATTTTCAGTTTTGTAATAAAATGATATTTTAGCAAGAAGAAATCTGCGAAAGAATCTAAGATGAACTGGAGAGTAAACCAGTATCCAGCGCCACCTTCTCATGATTTCGTAGATATCAAGATGGCTGAAGAAAGGAAAATGGCAAAAGTGAAAGAATTAAAAGAGAGACAGGATGCCATTTTACAGAGACGCAGGTAAAATAATAAAAAAGAAAATCAAACAAAATACATAATAATTAAACAAAAAACTTTAAAAACATTGTCATAGGAAAAGCTTTCTGTTAAACAATCTGTAAAAAGGTACAGTGAAAGGTATTTGTGAAATTGCGAAATGCAATTGAATCATTTTCATTTCAAAACTGCTATATCAAAACATGTAAAAATCTAACAGTTTAATCTATATATCTTTTATGTTTATGTTCTCTCTTCGGACCTCGGCCGGTACTTCTATGAAGGTAAACTCTATGATCTATGATCAATGATTGAGAAACATTAGTGGCAGGAGCATGGGTATTCAAAATATTTTTCTTATAATTCTAGAGATGAACAAGCTTTAAAAGACTGGAGAGACGATTCTAAAAAACTACAACATAAAAAATATTTACAGGCCGTACAAAATGGTGGTCTTGGTAGGTATTTCTTCATTATTTCTAAACCTCTCTTCTCCTTGAAACTTAAAATAAACTCTTTCAAATTTAAACAAAATGAGGGCTAAATGTAAGAGAAATTGTTAGTAAAAAAAATAATGACCACAGATGAGTTTTTACATGTCATGAAATAAGTCGGACATCTGTGGTTCAGGCAATTCCACTAAAACTAAGTGTTTTATGACGTCACCCCCGCAAAATTTTTATATTGATTTCCCCTACATAACGGCCAAAAATACAAGTCCCAGTAAAATTAGTGCAAATTTTGACTATTTTGTCCTCTTCAGAATATGATGAGCCAGCCAAGAAAGCACCATTTGCCGTGGAAAAAAATCACATGAAAGTTTTATCAAAAGAAGAACAGATCAAGGTATTATTTTTATGGGTCACATATATTAACATATTGTAACCACCCCACAGGATGTATTTTAAACATTCTACATACACATTAGTACAAGATTGAAATATCTATCTATCAACATAAAGTGATGTAGCCTGGTGCTTCCTTAAATATCCACTGTGCTGTGGTCGGAGGTTATATAGGTGGCCCTTGATTGGAGGGTCCTAAACAGGTTCCTTTTATTCTAATTCTTCCCCCAATCGAACGGTGTGAAAGTTGATAGGTCACAATTTTCCATCTTTTACCTTCTCCACCATTATGAATTCTGTTTAGACCAACTATATTTTTGGCACACATAGAACACATTCTGAACTCTGTTCCAACTTCCAACTTGTTTTATTGAACATCCTGTTGATTCTGAACACACAGAACTCATCAATAGCGCCACCTAGTAGGGCTTCATTGATTATCAAATAGTGAAAGGTTATTATACAGAAATTCCAAACATAAACAAATACAGCATCAAATTGAACTGTATCACCCAGATTTATCATTTTAACTAGTTTAAAATAAAAGTCAATTGTTTAAGTGGCCTTGACTTATTTGGTTATTTTGTTATTTCTAGTCGGAAGTGAAGGAAGCCCATGAGAAGATAAGACGCCCAATGTCACCAGGAACCAAGCAGAGAATAGAAGCAGAGAAGTAATAATTATACTACAAATAAACTTTTCTTACGAACCCTTTCAAGACACGCCACACACTAGACGCGCCAGACACCAGACACACCACACACGTCAGACATACCACACACACACTACACACCAGACATACCACACACACCAGACATAAATATAGGGATACTGACTTTTGACTCAGGGACATATTGTTCTAACTGCACTGTGCATTATCCTGGGTCATAATGGGTCATTGGCATGGATACCATGCACAAAAAAATCACCATAGCTTGTGGTTTTAAAAACAAATAAGTTGTTGTTAGTTCTAAATGTTATCCAGAAATTAGACGTTTATAAATTTGGACTTTGAATAAATTACTATAACATATAAAGTTGTTAAAATTGCACTTTGTACATGCTGTCTGTTCTGATATGGTTTTGTCATTTATGTTTTTAGGACTGCTAGAATTCGTGAATTAGAGAAAAGAATAAAAGAACATTCCAATAACATGTTAGAACGCAGAAAACAACCGAAAGGTACGCCTCAACATGAGATGGAGGCAGCTAAAAAAGAATTGGATGTTGTAAGTGTTTTTTGTTTCATTTTGTATTCTATTTCAGTGAGTTAGCTTACTTTGCTATGACTACAGTCCAACTTTGGAAAAATAATTTCCAAATCATAAGTCCTGATGAGGTTTGTGTATCTGAAACACTTGGCAACATTAGATGACCGCTGGTCAATTTTTGACGATCGCCTTGCATAAAACTCTTAAATATAATATAAGCTTATTTCATTTATAAACTATTTAGCCAATTTATCTCCCAAAAAGTTACCCCATCATTATATATATTCCCAATTGCTCTGTAGGTGAAACAGCTACAAAAAGACTTGATGAGGCGCTATCAGGAGCTAAAGACTTGGACATCAGGTGTTTTATTTTATTTTCTTCCACATTTGATTCCTTGTTTTCCCAATAGTTTCTACTAATATTTTGAATAGAATTTTTATATTTAAATATTTTACTATTAACTCTAGCATGTAACAAATAAAATCGTTTTAATTTGTATTTTTATTGGGATTTGTGAGTAGGGGTTTGATCTGGCTCTCGAATTTACTGGCCATGGCAAAGAAATTTTTCTTATGGGATTTAGCTGATTCTTATAGCTTTGTATGTGATTTTTGGTTAATTTTTTACGGTTAACAAATTTACCAGTTTATATTAGACATGATAGCTCTATTTCTTTTTGGACAGAAAATGAATCAAATTACAATGATATTATTTGGTACATTCTGCTGATGAATTTATAAAAGAATATATAAATGACTCTAGGTATAGTGAAAGTAGTATTTGATATCTGGCCGCGACTTTAAAATATTGTAACTATGATACAATCAACAATTTGATAAAAACTATAATTTGATTGGCTAAGAAAGATGAATTTAAAAGCATTTTTTGTGTAATAATCTAATCAGAAGACTGGAATATTAAAATCATCTCAAGTTCGGAGAAACTTTCCCTTTTTTTCTTGCTTCATTTAACTAGTTTATAGTTAGAGAGATACTGGTACTGTAAAATATATCATGTAATTGTCAGTATTGATTTATAGAGTTACCATGTCACTTTATAAAGGACATCTGGAATAGAGTTCATCTGTAATTGAATCAATTTAAGACAATTGTATTAAAACAATAAGCTAAATAAGTCCAGTGACTGTATAAATTTTTATGTTTCAATTTAGGTTATGATTTTTTTTGTATAGAAGTGATTCTTTTTTATTTCTGCTGTATTTTTATTTTAATTTTCATCTTAAATTTTGGATTTCTAAAAATCCATTTTGATTTTGTGAGTTGATTGTTCTCAAGAAGAATCTTTCAAATACAAATTAGTTTCTTTTACTTATTATCGCATTTTTACAAAGGATCACAAGCCTTAGATAATAACAGACAAAATACAATTTATGACAAGTTCTTGAATTTAAGTACATGTAATTAATTTAAAGTTTGTAGTATGCTAGTTAGACACCAAGCTAGGCTAGTCACTAATCTAATGTTTTATTTATTTATTTATCAAGCCTCGCGATCACGTATTAAAAGTTGTCAGTCTGTACATATTTGATCTGGTTGGGTAAGTTAGATAGTAGGTCAATCTTATTTATGCACATGCAGATTGGTAATGCACATGCATCGACGCATTCAATCATACGCACATTCTGTTTACTAAATTTTGAGGTAGTTAAGATAATGTTTAATTAATTGGTCTAAATTGTATAGTTTCTGTTCATGCACCTCCTGTTATACCCCAGAAAATAGTAGACTGTTTGTGTGTATGTATTAAAACAAACCTGCATGTGCAAAAGTGAGGTTGACCCACTATACATAGTGTAGTTGTTTTAGCTAATATGAGTGAGTTTAGGGTCAAATAACCAATACCATGATTAACATGTTTACAGAAAAATAATTCTAATATGCAAACATGTTGATTTTTGTTTTTTTCATTTTTGTGTGAAATTGGGTTTTTGACGAATCTGACTAGATAAATATATCAGGTTCTTGACGTCTTTTTCATTCACTTGCCGTAGCAGCTTTATACAATTTCTACAATCCCATTGGCTTAATTTGACATTTTTTTTTCAAATTTGGAGGTTTTTATTCATAGCTGTTTATTGCTTTCAGGTGTATATAGAGCTTCACAAGGACAATTTATCAGTTTCAACAGTATGTCTTTTAATATAGGATAGATATAGTCATCTATTTATTTTCTTTTACAGCTGATAAAGAATCATTACAGGATATGTGTCACTTTTCAAAATTAAATTCTGGCCCTTGGTTCGCTTTCTAAACTTGTTTTGATTAGAAATGGAAGACTTTATCTATTTATACAACATATTGTGACGGTTTGATTTAACTTTTGATATCATTCACCTAAATTTAAAAACAGTCAAGATGTTTAATACTATAATGTTTTATGGTGATCTCTCATAATTTATAGAAATTTGTATTTATTCAATTTAAAGGGACAGTATTGAACCTTAGTCTCAGGATATTTTATTTAGCTAAGCTAATCAGTAATAGTGTTCTCAGTTCACTGTCAAAATTTGAGTCTTCAAATCCATGGTGTACAGAATTATCCGCGTTTGAAAGTTAAGTCTTTTCTGGAGACACATTATGCATGCTTGCACACTATATTCATAATATACGATAGCTAACAAATTAACTCGAGCAGCTGGTGCAATAAATTATTAGATGACTATATCACCCTCAGTAGATATTTCAATCATAAACAAAGTAGAATCCAGTCATAGTTTAATAATATTCAGATGACAGTTTGTAACATCCCTATCTATATATTTTAATCTTCTACCCTTGGGGCAAAGTAGTTGAACAAATCCGAACCCATCATTCCTTACTAGGGCCTTATTCTCGACAAGGTTTAAAAACCTGATATACTAAAATATATTTCATTATCCAATCAGATTAGTGTTTGTCTTAAAATCTGGATTTTATCTAAATATCTGAGAATAAGGCCCTTGATTCTTATAATAGCTAGTTAATATTGTTTATGGTAGGCTTAAGCATAGTGCCTTGTCTTATTTGATCTTTACGAATATTAATAGAAAACAGGCAATATATGACTGAATATATTGGCTAGATGTGAGCCATACAAGATGTAATGAAATGAATGGAGTTTTACGTCCTATTCTCCTGCACCTGATTAGGCTAATGAAGAGGAGATGTAGTGTTATTGATGAATTATGTTAATGATCTTGAATTTTTATCAATACTTATATTTGCTTGTTTTTGTGCTAAATCACTTATGTTTTTCTCAAAGGACAATGTACAAAGTTGCCCATCTCTAGTTTCACAGTCTCACTTTTGGGGGTTAAAACAGTGTGCTTATAGTTGCAATAACTAAACTCTTGATGGAAATAAGGAATCAAATGTGGATAGAGTACAGAAAGTGAAAAATACTTCAGCATAATCGTACAAAATTGCATATTGACTTTGACATGGTTGTCATCCTTTGATAATAACAAATATTTTTTTTTTAGAAATCCTCTTTCTTTCAACATACAATTTACTTTATTTTTTTCAAACGTCTCATTGTATTCAAAATAACAAGCAAAAATCTCCAAAATCCAGATTTAATTAAAGATTTGTTCAGTGCATGTCATCCCTTCAAATAACAAATAAATAAGAATTAAACGTTGGTCTCACTAGCATAATTTGGAGTCATTTATGTATGTTTGTGGCGTGATCAACTGCATTTACACACCAATAATACTAGTGATACCAACGTTTAATTCTTATATTTATATTCAGATACTTTTATTAATACAATTTTCACTTTTTTATATGATCGTTTCCTTGAATTTGTCACGAATCTTAGATAGTGTCATTGTTGTGTTTTGACGACGTCATAGTATCATGTTACAAACTACAGTTTATTGAAAAATAAACGCCAGTTTGTGTAACTGAAGGGAGTGACAGTAGAAATGTAAATATTACCAAATAATCAATATTCAAAAGAAGCCTGTTCTTTTTTGGTAATATAACACACTTGATGCCAGTCGTTGATGATTTTTGTCACCTGGCATCACTTCCATTGACTATACCAAACTAATTCCATTTTCTCTTTTTATTTCAGGCTGAGATCTTACAGAGAGAATTAAAAGTTCAGCGAACAGAATTGGAATATAGGTTTAAAGCCTTTACAGGAGACATTACTTCTGGTTACACTAAAACAACCAAACTGAAGTCTTAATTTGATTGAGACTACAGACTTATACCTTAATTTGATTGAGACTACAGACTTAAACCATAATTTGTTCAAGGCTACAGACTTAAACCTTAATTTGATTGAGACTACAGACTTAAACCTTAATTTGATTCAAGGCTACAGACTTAAACCTTAATTTGATTGAGACTACAGACTTAAACCTTAATTTTTTCAAGGCTACAGACTTAAACCTTAATTTGATTGAGACTACAGATTAAAGCCTTAATTGGTTACTTAAACTTTTAACTTGTTGGAAATATATTTTTTGGTATGCAAGACGACTCAAGATTGCAGACCCTGTGTACAAGTTACGAATCAGTATTCTAAATAGTTGTTAATATTTCTTTTGTTAATTTTATTTATTTCATTTCAAAATATATAATTATCAAATACTTCCAAATGTATTGTAGTATTTAATATACAAACCTAGTCAAAGAGAGACTGTAGGTCACGGAGAGGATCAGCCACGCCCTGCCCTACCCTCAAAATTCTATGGATCCTTCCAAACATCATGAATCCAATCCACAAAAAGCAGTAAAAAAAGGAATAAAAACCAAGACGAGGATTTAAGCAAGCATTTTAATGAAGCAGTGACAAATATCAATATTTAATCATCAAAAGAGGAGAAAAAATCCACCAAAATATTTCATAAAACATTACAAGTTAAAATTAGACCAACCTTTCCTTCCGTTTTTGTATTAGCTTATAATTTTAAGAAAGCCACTTCAGTTAGGGTCTAACGACAGCCCTCTTGAACACTCATCACATTAACCTTTTGATCCAACCTGATAAATAACACATCACAAAATGCCAACGCTTGAGAGGGTGGAAATTTGATTGGTTAAAGCATAATTGAGTAAGGTCAAAAATTTAATTGCTGAACGTTCAAGAGTGCCGTCACATAATATCTGACTGGATATATAATTGACACCCCCCAATATTTTAGTGAATTCTTCCACACATACATACTCTATCAATATTAAAACTATATATGTATGATTGGAAGAGGTCATTTGTATAATAAGGGGGTGTTTCTGCTGCCTGACAAATTATGTCTAGCTGAACACTGAACACCTTTAAGGTTAAAAAATTGAGCACAGTGAAAAATACTAATAGCCAATGTCCCAAAAAAAAAAAAACAGGCCTCCTTACAATGGAATCTTTTCAAACATTCTAATTCTGGAATGGTTTCACCTTGCATTCATCTTTTTCAACTAGCTATTAAAGACCAACTCTCAAAACCAGCCAGTATTTGTATGAGAATTAGATTATCAGTCTCAAAATAGTAGTTAGTCTGCCTTGATAAAAATATAAACATAAAACAGTCTAAGACTTAACGTACTCAGGCTGATATTCTAATTCTCATACAAATACTGGAGTAATAATAGGCTTATTGCCTTTGAGAAACTTAAGATACCTGTGTTCACACATTGAAACATGAAAATAGACCTCACTAAATTCTTACTAAATCACAAGTATAAAAATTGGAATAAATAAAAGCAATAAACTCTTGCTCTATAACGGTTATGGTCGTATATAAAGACAAAAGTTGACTGGAATATTAACCATAAACACGCTAACAGTTTATTGCTTATTAAATAGTAAATCTACAATAAATACGATAATATTAAGCAAAAAAAAAAACTTGTAGCCAAAAAACTTTCAAAATGATATCACAAAAATCACAAAACAGCATCATCAATATAGGAAAAGTTTTTAATTGAGTAGAAATAATACTGTCATGGGTTGAGGGGATACAGTTTGACTGCAATTCTATTGAAACTTTTCAATCCTTTTAAGCATACAACAAGAACAAGTATTTTAGAGCTCTATTAAAGCATGACTAGCAAAAACAGTTAATTCAACAATTTCAAAAAAATACTTCTCCAAAATTCATAAATTTATAATAATTTGAATAAGGCCTCAAGTTTGCTGAATTGCATTTTACATGGTAATGCTAGTTCTATGTCTTGACATTACTGGGTGAGATCATGCAATGGAAATTTTACATCCTAAGATTGTTTGACCACGTTCATTTTTCGTGATCATAGCCAAACAAGTACTCGCTGTGGCGTTATGGTGAAATGAGAATGAAACTCTGTGGTGTGAGGGCACCTTAATGAACACAATAGGTCTGACTTGCATACCTTCTATAAATATCTATTCCACCTACAAATAAAATCCACTGCCAATATATAATTATATGGTTTAAATTGGACTTTTAATATTATAACTCAGCTAAAATTATTGTTATGGAAACAATCGAATGATGTCTCAGGGTCTTAACTTCTAACATTGTATCTAGGATATCCTAGCACTAAGATCATATACTTGGCCAGTTCTTCACTTTTTCTTTTTCTTCCATTTCTGAATCCACGATTTATCAGCCCATCTTACAATCTTTATTTTCTCGGTCGAATGGACATTTCTTCTAGTATGTCCCTCACAACTTCTGGTGCAATACTGTCAGTTGAACCAACACTATTTATCTTGTCTGATTCTTGTTCAATTGTTCCATTCCCTAGTGCTTGTAAAAACAAACCTTCTCTTGGACTATCTGTAAAGTCATCCAAATCCATTGAATTCTGCAAAAAATATAATTGCAATTGAGAGAAAAGATAACTTGGCAGAAAAGGTAACATATAGAAATTTACTGGCCTCATTCTGGTGTGATTAAGGTCTGTTGACCATTGAAATTCTGAAAAAATATATAAAATATACTGACCACTGGAGTTATTTTCTCAGGAAACAACTTTTTTGCTGCATGTTCCAACATTTCACCTTTATTAATATCTGAAACACAAATTTTCAAAATAATATTCTAATAATGTTATGTTTTTGGGTTGTTATTATAATAGGGTAAGGTGGTAAATTATCAAACTTGTAATGGAGATGAAAACATTACATTATTATTAACCAATCCAAACATAGGAGACGATTTTATGTCTTACTCCTCTGCACTGATTGGACAAATGAAGAACTTCAAAGACATGCAATTTTAGGGAAATTCTGCCATTTGCCTACTCTTTTTCGATTTACAAAAGTTAAGAGATCTCAGCTCGAGCACACAGGACCTCAGTTTACTGGATTAAGGACAAGAGAAAAACCAAGTTTAAAAATCTGAAGGTATCTCGACCTATGCTGGGATTGAACCAGGTTAGCAAGAGTCTAACTCACGGCTCCCTACTGACAATTGGAACAGAAGTTCAAGTACTTCGACTTCAAGGTAACGGATAATGTATGAGGGTGGGCTGAAAAGTTCATAGGCTGACTCGGCAGCTCCTGTATCCTCAACACACACAAGAGCCCTGTTTATCCATACATTTCTTTTCTGTAACCCTATTCTGTTGAATAAAACAAATGGAGAACATAACCCTTTTCATACTTACTATTCTTTTCTAGAACTTCGCTAACATTTTCCAGGGCTTCTTTAGTTTTTCCGAATTTGTGACTATTTATGGAAGTAATTTCAAGAAAAACATCAAAAATTTGTAGAATTTCTTTTCGATTGTCTTCTTCATAATGTTCTAAACTCTACAAAAGATAACTGGATTATTATGAGGCCTAAATTTCAAACCTAATCATTTTTGTACATCAACAAAATCAAAAAGTTATTTTGATGTGTTCAAAACGAGGCATGAATAAGGTTTATTGATAAACTCACCTCCGTCAGTTTTTTCAACCCATTCTTCTTTAAATCATAGATATCATTAAACTCTTCCCCCAGATACATTGCGCTAAAAAGTCGGAAGCACCACAATATATCTGACTCATACCTTTTGATGTCATCATTGAGTCTCAGACTTTCCATTCGATGTCCCAAGCCAAAATCTATGATCTTAACATCAATGGATAAATCGTTTTTTTGTAACATAACATTTCCACCTTGAAAAAATAGGACAGAAATAAAGAATCATATTTTACACGGATAGTTTCTTATAGTTAACTTCAGATTATCAAACCTAGAGATTCTTTTGTGTTCACAAGCAAATTCAGACATATTTTAGGGACGTCAAGGGCAATAATTCTGAAAAATACTTACCATGTAAATCATTATGTGTCCATCTTTTATCATGTATTTTATCGACAGCTGTTAATAGGCCGTGTAAAAAACACAATGATACACCTTTAATCTTGTCAGGGTCAATGTTACCCAAGAGATCATCTATCACTTTTCTTAATGAAACCACTAAAAAAATCAAAATAATCTATTTGACTACAAGTTGGTAAAAATACAGCTCTTAAGTCAAGATATTTCATTGTCAATCTGATTATAATACAGCTCTAGATATTTCACTGTCAATCTGATTATAATACAGCTCTAGATATTTCACTGTCAATCTGATTAAAATACAGCTCTAGATATTTCACTGTCAATCTGATTATAATACAGCTCTAGATATTTCACTGTCAATCTGATTATAATACAGCTCTAGATATTTCACTGTCAATCTGATTAAAATACAACTCTAGATATTTCATTGTCAATCTAATTAAAATACAACTCTAGATATTTCACTGTAAATCTGATTAAAATACAGCTCTAGATATTTCACTGTCAATCTGATTAAAATACAGCTCTAGATATTCACTGTCAATCTGATTAAAATACAGCTCTAGATATTTCACTGTCAATCTGATTAAAATACAGCTCTAGATATTCACTGTCAATCTGATTAAAATACAGCTCTAGATATTTCACTGTCAATCTGATTAAAATACAGCTCTAGACATTTCATTGTCAATCTGATTAAAGTACAACTCTAGATATTTCATTGTCAATCTGATTAAAGTACAACTCTAGATATTTCACTGTCAATCTGATTAAAATACAACTCTAGATATTTCACTGTCAATCTGATTAAAATACAACTCTAGATATTTCATTGTCAGTCTGATTAAAGTACAACTCTAGATATTTCATTGTCAATCTGATTAAAATAAAATATTGTTTTCAAACTTACCTTCAGTCAATTTTTCCATGTGGAAATGTATCTTATTACCTTCTATTCTAACCAGAAGTAAACTTGGCACAAAATCTTCTTCATTGAGATCTATCCACATTTTTAGTTCTTCATCGCGGAATTCAGCAATCAAGTACTAAAATTCAGAGTATAAAGAGCATGTATGCTATAGCTATTCAAACTTTCTGATATACCAGTACCTTCACATTTTTCAACCCAGTTTCCCCTTTTCAGGGCTGACATGAAAAAACATCTTGTTGTTCAGATGGGACAATAAACTCAGGCCCTTAAAGATCCTCTGATATTTGGAATAGGAAAAAGAGCAGGCTAATGCCACTTTCCTGGCAAAATTTCCCTTGTTGCACCCTGCATGGCGTTGCCCGTCTTCATAAGCCAACAAGATGCAGTAAGGAAGGACATAAACCTCCATTCATTTCATTTTCATTATCAAAATTAGGTGCAGAAGAGCAGAATGTAAAACTCGATTCTTTTTCTAGCTTTATGGATGCCAAATTGACAATTTCAGATGTAAGCTTACATTATTAGATATGTGGATATCAATTTGAGAACCTTGTGGACTCCACAGAGAAAAACCAAAAAGGTCCTTACTGTTTTCAGCGCATGGTCTATTCCAGTTTTATTATCTTTGACCACGAATATATTTCCAGAAATTCCTTTCCCTAGAATTTCACTTGTCTTTGTAAAGTGCTCCTTTTCAACATATACTCCCTTTGGAGTGTAAATCTAAAATTCACAAGAGGAAACCTCAAACATTTACTTAATAAACCGAAAAAAAATCTGATTAAAACTGTGGCCCCTATCACTAATTCTCAACAACATAATTTATGGTCACTATGATGTCAAATTTTGATAATCCATCATCAAAGTTCGTAATCGAATTAATGCCAAAGTTACATTTTCTCCCGTGTACCAGTCATCCACTAAACTCTTCCACAAAGTTTCCCTTCAGCACATAACTTACCCACAATAAACAATAAAAACCGATCAAATCAATATATTCATATTCACATTAATGACACAAAAATAAACCATCAAATTAAAAATTTAGATATGCTTTTTTTCTTAGTATTAAGAAGATTTTTTTGAATTAAAATATTACAATTATTAACGATTATTGATCGATATCCTGCCGTCAATTCGGAAACAAGCCATTTTTTTTTAAACATATTTTTCAGTGTATCAAAGTTTGAAACTCTGTTAACTCTCCTCACCTGGTCATTAGCAAAGTTAATTCCACTTGGAGCTTTTAATTCTTTCATTTTAGAGATAATTTCTGAAAATGCTTCAACATATGCTAATTCTTCTTGTTTATTTTTGGCAGAAACTATTTTTGCAGTCTGTGACACATCTTTACCTGCCAAAACTTTTTTCAAATCACTGCAATGAAACATTAAACACTTACATCTCTAACCTGATTCACTATAGCAAGTAACTCTAAACTAATCATCTTTTACATCGTTAAAATCAGAGTTGATTAAACTATTAATGATGAAGTTTACTCTCAAACATTTTTAAGAAAGGCCAGTTCAAAGCCCATTTTCTCACTGTTGTTCAGGTGTTCAGTGACGTCACATAGGCTATTCTTTCGTACATCGCCATCTGTTCAGTAAATGAGGTAATTTGTGTTGCTTTGCCTTGCATTCGATGTGTTAAAAACGAGGGTCAATAGGTTCTTTAAGCAAAATTCAAGCAAAATATGAGATATACTCCCTTTAAAATCCTACCTTTGATAATCAACTACAATATTTCCATTTTTATCTTTGTGCAGAGAAGCTGAATATTAAAAAAAAAAAACTTTATATTTCAAACTTGTCCCTTGGTTACTTTTATGAAAATAAATTTTCCACAAGTCAACTTTTAAATACCTCAAGGTAAAAAAAAAATTGGATGCCTGTGCAATACTACCCTCTAACCCTGGGCTGGGACAAGTCTGTCTTTTTGTAGACAGCCGGTAGCGAGTTGAATTGTTGTCTGCTTGGCAATTAGGTGCCATTGATTTGAATCAGAAAATCTGATGCCTGTGCCAGTGCTTTCAGGAGTCCGACAGATATCAGCTTTCTCGCCTTATGCCCTAAAAAAGTAATTTTTTCTTACCTTTTTTACTTTTAACATCTGTAATCAAATGCTGTACATATTCCTTTGATCTTGGTGATAAACTTTTGTCCCTCACTGAAATAAACACATATATTTTTTATATATCATACTTTTAGTCGTCTTCACAATGTCAAGCTATTACAAACTTCATCTTCACAATATCAAGCTATTACAAACTTCATCTTCACAATATCAAGCTATTACAAACTTTATCTTCACAATGTCAAGCTATTACAAACTTCATCTTCACAATATCAAGCTATTACAAACTTTATCTTCACAATATCAAGCTATTACAAACTTCATCTTCATAATGTCAAGCTATTACAAACTCCATCTTCACAATGTCAAGCTATTACAAACTTCATCTTCACAATGTCAAGCTATTACAAACTTCATCTTCACAATGTCAAGCTATATAGATCTTCATCTTTACAATGTCAAGCTATTACAAACTTCATCTTCACAATGTCAAGCTATTACGAACTTTATCTTTACAATGTCAAGCTATTACGAACTTTATCTTCACAATGTCAAGCTATTGCGAACTTTATCTTCACGATGTCAAGCTATTACGAACTCTATCTTCACAATGTCAAGCTATTACGAACTTTATCTTCACAATATCAAGCTATTACGAACTTTATCTTCACAATGTCAAGCTATTACGAACTCTATCTTCACAATGTCAACTTATTACTTACTTCATCTTCACAATGTCAAGCTATTACAAACTTCATCTTCACAATATCAAGCTATTACAAACTTCATCTTCACAATATCAAGCTATTACGAACTTTATCTTTACAATATCAAGCTATTACAAACTCCATCTTTACAATGTCAAGCTATTACAAACTTCATCTTCACGATATCAAGCTATTACAAACTTCATCTTCACAATGTCAAGCTATTACAAACTTCATCTTCACGATGTCAAGCTATTACAAACTTCATCTTCACAATATCAAGCTATTACAAACTTTATCTTCACAATGTCAAGCTATTACAAACTTCATCTTCACAATATCAAGCTATTACAAACTTCATCTTCACAATGTCAAGTTATTACAAACTTCATCTTCACAATGTCAAGCTATTGCGAACTTTATCTTCACGATGTCAAGCTATTACAAACTTCATCTTCACAATGTCAAGTTATTACAAACTTCATCTTCACAATGTCAAGCTATATAGATCTTCATCTTCACAATGTCAAACTATTACAAACTTCATCTTCACAATGTCAAGCTATTACGAACTTCATCTTCACAATGTCAAGCTATTACGAACTTCATCTTCACAATATCAAGCTATTACTAACTTCATCTTCACAATATCAAGCTATTACAAACTTCATCTTCACAATATCAAGCTATTACAAACTTCATCTTCACAATATCAAGCTATTACGAACTTTATCTTCACAATGTCAAGCTATTACAAACTTCATCTTCACAATGTCAAGCTATTACGAACTTTATCTTCACAATGTCAAGTTATCAACATTTTGGATCAAAAACCAGAAATATACTAATGCCTAATATGGTCATATCAATTTAAACCCATAATGCCCATATGCTTTTTTAACTAATGATAATTTTTTTTTACAAGATTTTTGGAGAAAAAAAAGCCCTGAATTATGGTTGTTATAAACCTTTACTCACCTTGCCTTTGACTTTGACCTATTTGTACTTCATCTAAGAGATCATCTGTTTCCATTCCGTCCATTTTGTATTTCAGTATCTCTTTGAGTTTGATTTTAAATATCAGTCTGACTAGAAAAAAACAAATTATGGAAAATTATTTTACCCTTGAACACAATATAGGTCTGAAAATCCCCATTTAAAAGGGAATATTTTTTCTGAATCTACTGCAGCCGACGACTGCCAAAATATCCATCAGAGACTGGAATAGAGGCAGATGTTTCGGACTAAATATAGGCCAGACTTATAGAGTTTCAATTATTAATATTCTTCCCTGGAACACAATTATAGTTCTAACATGGACTGATGGAGGCTATAATAGTTTCTTTTACTATCTAATCTACTTCAACACAGTACACATTTTGGTTCATTAAGATCATTAAAGACAACAACCATCTGTCTTAAAATATCTTCAAGCCCAAAGTCGAGACACACAAATGACCTACTTTCTAAACTACTTTTCAGACTGAATTATCCTCTGTAAAATAATGTTTACAAATAATTACTTTTCTAGTGGTTGACATTTTCATCAACCCAAAGCCAATTCAGTAGTATTTTACAATTGATATTTTCCTTCACATGAAAATGACAGCCAAAATTCAATTCTGAGAACATTGTAATCAGAGAGTAGCAGTAGACATGATGGAGTTATGTAATAAGTCGTATTTATAAATCTATCTATGAGTATGACTATAACACGCACTTAAAGAGGACTTTTCTCTATCATGGCGATATCTACACAAAAAGGTTACTTTTCGGTGTTAAATTACCGAATACTTATAAGTTATAGATTACCTTACCAATTCAGTGTCTGCCTTCGTGTTCCACTTTTTCCCGCGTCTAAGAAGATCTCGTGATCCTTTTTTTTTTATAAATCATAATTCTGTTTCAAGAACGGTGCAGACAACTCGGACCAAAGACAAATCAGACCAACTATCAAAGACAAGTCGGACCAACTTTTGGACAACCAAGACTACATTAATTTTTTTTAATTTCCAGTCTTCAAAGATAGTAAAAGTAGTAACGAAACTTTGCTTCATACTAGAAACTTGGCTCTACATTTTAAGGTTTTTCTTTAAAAATGATGAACAGTAATCTTTTATACTCAATCTGTTTAAAGTCACCCCCTCTAGCTACGGGCCTGCCCTCATAATAATTTGGTATAAATAAAGGCGCCAACACGCACGTGTCAGCATGAATAAAATGGATTTATTTCCCCTGATTAATTCCTTGCCAATATCTTGAATTGTGGGTAATATCTAGATCCGCCATATTGTTCTAAATGGTTCATTTGTGGAATGACAGCTAGTATTTACTTTTGTATTTATATCGCACGTGTGCCCAATTTCTTAATAACTTCAACATTGATCGATTAATAGATTTATTCATATCCAAACTTCTGAATATGAGTGCTTCAGACAGTAAAAAAACCAAGAGACGGAAAATTAAAAATGCAGTATCGAAAACGACTGCAGCAAGCTCGAACGCCTCAACAAATGGCACAAATCCTCTATCTAAGACACCCTCACATTTTCAAGTAGAGGACGAAAAGGTACTGGTAACATATCCTTTAGGGTCTAAGATTAGAGTTACATTCAGTAGTAAGAATACCAAGTATGTCCACCAGTCTGCACTTTGATCTATACCCCTCATTTCCCACTACAACTAGGCCTACACATTGGCAATGAATGTTGTTGGAGTTGAAGCCCTGATTTTGGACCCTGTCCCTAGTATTTCACAATCATTTGAATGAATTTTCAGATTTTCATGGTTTCACGAAATATTCCTTGACAGAAAGGGAATAACACAGTCTTTGCTTTAAAATATGGTGGCTTTCGGAGCAAAAAATATGACAATGCATTAGATATTGAATTGTGAACCGGGCGAGCTTCCTTTTCACGATTTTTCGGCACTTCGTTTATATGCTTTTGATTCAAGATGTCTTGCATTTGCTTAAGTTACCTAATACACAATAAGCCTCATAAAAGAAAACTGAAGTAGGCCTCTTGGGTTATAGTCAACTGAGCACCAAACCATAATGGCCCTAAAAGTCATAATAAACTGACCCTGTTTTGGTCCAATTGCTAAATGATTTTAACCAGATCTTAGGTTAGAATGGCCTGCATGAAAAGTAAAAATGGCCACCATTAAAAATTTAGTTCATTCAATTTATTAATTCATAATTTTATTTTCAGACAAAACTGAAAGAATTAATGAGAGATTCAGAATGTATGGATATTGTATTTTCTGTGCCACGTAGTAAAATGTTTCCCAAAGAAGGCCCCAATTTATTTACGAAAGAAAACTGCTTACTTTGTGGCTGTGAGCGCTTTGATCGTCCGTCAGCTGAAAAATTTATATCAGGTATGTTATTTTGAATTTTTTCTACCAGTTTCTGATTGGAATCTGTCTTAAGCTATCAACAGTGTTTGAGATAAAAGACCAATCATCAGGAAGTTTTAAGAAGGCTATATTGAATGGAAGTTTTGGATTATGTGTGTTATACCCAAGTAGAGGTGCTGATCTATGTCTTTCAGCAATCTTATCGAGTTATTTTGTTTTAATTGTAGACCTCAGTGAAAATACTTGTACAGAACGTGGTGATACTCCAAACTCAGAACAATTTTTATCAGGTTGGTTTTCACATTAGATATTTCAATTTCCAGGTCTCTTGTCTTTTACTGTCAACAGCGTTTTAGAAGTTAGACCCTTGACAGCAGGCTTTGAATGACAACTGATTTTACACTGAACTTAAAGCGACAGATTCACCATTCGTTTAACCAATCGCAACTTAGTCTCAGAAATCTGATTTTGGAATTTTAGTGTTTAAAAGTTTAAATGACAACTCGTCTTTCCTTGAGACTGCCATATAGAAAAAACATATATAGAAATATACAGTGAAATTCCTAGTTTATGGTATTTTTGAAGAAATTGTGTGATTTTTGTATATTTCTAGTATTTCTGAAGACTATTTACATATATTCAATGTCCAAATTAAAACCTGTCAATGGCAAATCTGTCCCTGTGATAAGTGTACTTTGCATGGGAGTTACACCTATGTAGAGCTTTTGATCTAGAATATTCTATAAGTGTTATTTTGTGTTTAATTATAGAAATTGGTGAGAATACGTGTACAGACACAGAGTCTGTTACCAAGGTAAGAAACTAAACACAAAACTTTACTCAGCAGCTTTCTGTCAGGTTTGACAGGTTTATCTTCTAACAGGAGAACTTTTGAATCCTAAGAATAAGCTGATTTTCATTGAACTCTAAATGTTAAGCATGCCATGGTATTCCATTGTTTTCATACTCTAAGCTGTGAGCCTTGGAACTCAAATTTAAACACTATCCTATCAGAAGGTAACAAAGCTTTACCTTTTGGTTATATTTTATCATTTTATATTTGTGCCCTTTTTTTCAGCTTCCATTATGGGTTTGTGCTACGTGTAGAAAAGCAGCTGATTCAGAATTATTAGATAAAAAAGATGCTGATATTCCATTTCTGGTAGGTCTATATTTTATTTCATTCAAATGAACTGAAATGAAATGGAGTTCTACTTTTACTTTACTTTTCTTCATTCTGCAGAGTGAAATGAAGAAATTTTTCAAGGACAGCAACATTACCCTATTCTTAAGCATACACAACCTTAAGGATCAAATTTTGAAATTCTAGTGAAATGATTTGGGATATTTGTCCCTGTTTGAATATAATATTGGTATCCCTTTCCAGGATCAAGATCTACAGCCTGAAACTATCCCTTTTCCATTTTTACCTGACATGAACCTCGATTCCACAGAACCTTTTACTGCTAATGGTACCATCTGTAATTGTGAGGCATGTAAAGAAAGAAGGTAAAATTAAGTTTATCAATCGCTCCATCTTCACAATGACAGGCTATAACGAACTTTATACTTATACCTTAATTGCAATAGACACTATAATTGTATCACGGAACGCAGCCATTTGATTGGATTGTTCAGCCAATCAGAGCCCCTGACAGAAAGGCTGTAAACTTTATGGCTTTCTGTTCACAAATGTTCGTTCGAGGCCTTTGATTGACTGTAGTCATATATGTATTTGTATAATCCAATCAAATGGCTGAGTTATAAACTTTCGTGACAAAAGAATAGTGTCTACTGCAGTCAAGGTATAAGATGCAATACGAAATAATTTGATATTGTGAAGATGCAGTGACTATGGAGTGACATAGTTTGGTGATGGGTGTTATATATGATGTCTAGAAAGTTATATAAGCTTGTTAAATAGTTGTTTAACCTAATAGAATTCGTTATAACCAGCTGATAGAGCTCAATTACAGCAATCTTTATCCTTTCTGTGTGTTTGACACCTATAAACATCTATTAAATAAGGTCAGCACTTGCAGAAAATGAAGGTCTACTCAATCACATGGCATGTATACTATATAATATAACTGTATTTATATACAGACAAGACATATTTATAGTGAATTACATACTGAAAATATTTGATTTTAAGAATATGTTTTACAGACAAATATCAGATGAATACAATAAAGAAACACGAGAATTACAGAAATGTTGGGTGGAGTTACGTCAAATGATACAAAATTTGTACCAATCAGAAGACCCGTATCTGAGTGAATCAGAGCGAATACAACTTACTGATCTTGTTGTCAAGTAAGTCAGATATTTTCATGCCATAGGATACATTTTCAAAGAGCAAAATTACAACAAATTAATCATTATAATTTTGATTTTGGTTAATCATGATAAATTTTGATTTTGGTTAATCATGATAAATTTTGATTTTGGTTAATCATGATAAATTTCGATTCGCATTTCTTAGAAATCAGGTAGCAATTCAAAAGGTTCCAATAGTAAACCTTCTAAAATACAATTTGATTTGATTCACAGATTGTGGTGATAAAGTGTAATTTTGGCTAATGAAAGTAAATATTTGATCCCAAACCGTTTAGATTCAACTCTATGTGACAGTATGGAGGACCGTTACCTTGTATTATCTCGTATTTTTAAGTTATGTTATGTTATAGCACATTCTTATTACAAACCATGTGCAGAAAAGTAGGACGTAAAACTCCATTCGTTTCGTTTATTACAAACCACTTATTTGACATTACTTGGCATTTTTATATTTTTTAAGATTATGTAGTCGTGACCCTCATCAGTTATTTTTACGGCTCGAATCTCAGATACGAGATTTGGTGATAGAGAAAAAAGTATGTTTAATACAACAGTTAGATAAGGGGCATAATAGTTTAAGCGAGGCTCAACAGTTTATACATAGGTTACTAGAGGAATATAGTCAGATTTGTCGAGCTGCACGTATTACTTCAGAATGTCTAGCTGATCTGGTAGGTATTAAATGATTTATAAAGATAAATAGGCCAGTTAATGTCTGACTGAAACGTGCTGGCACTGGGCGTATTGTCCGTACCGTTGTTAGCTGTCAATGGGCACACTAGTTTATTTTGTTGAAGCGTGAAGCCATTTTGATTGTCAAGAATGATATAAAGTGACTTTGTTAATGTTTGTAATTCGTACCTTCATGGTTCCTATCCCACACTGCAGTTATTTACTTCTCAACGACCTACAAAGCTCAAGAATGGGAGAATTACTCAAACACTTTTGTCAAAATTTTATAAAACCTGATATTTTTGCATATAATTTGACGATTTTATTTCTTTTTTTTTTCACAGAAAGATCATTTAAAAAGGTTTAAAGTGACCTGGGATCTACACAATAAACATCTATTTCAAAATATTGTCTATTCTTATCCAGCTATACATCATAGCCTTCCTAACATCCGAGAAACTTTACGGTAAGGTACTATTTAAATACTGGTATTTACTTACCATTGTGTCCGATCCACAGCAAAGATATAGATAAAAAAATAGATAAAGAAAAGCATGATACAGCTGAACTTCACAATGTTAAGATATTGCAAACTGTGTCTTATAACTTGACTTCAATAATCACCTTTCTTATATCACTGAAGTTTGAAAATGCAGTGATTTGACTGGAGTGCACGCTACTGAATTCTGAATTAGTCCTTGACAGAAAATCAGTAAACATTGAGCCATAATGTTTACAGTCTTTCGAGGGCTCTGATTGGCTGTATTTGCTGGCGTACAATCCAAT